TTCATTTATTATTACCATCCTTAGCTACCTAATTGTGCTACTAATGAATACAAATAATCCATGCATCAGGCTTTTACAGACCCACTTCAGTGTACAAATAATTGTTTGTTGTGTAACTGCTGATTATGGGAGAAGCTAACTCACATTATGGAAAATATGTGCTGAAATGTTGGTGATGGGGAAAACACTGAATTCTGTAGTCCGCCTTTTAAATTATGAAAATGTATTGTCATTTTTGTTCCATCGGGTTGTCTGTGATGAGTAAATGTGAGACAATCTGAGCTCAGTTTTTAAGCACATGTACTTACATTTGGAACTTCAATTTCAAATTTTTGAGTGCTTGTATTAGCACTATAGCACATGAAATACGTAGTTGGCTACCAAATTGCCTATTCAAGTGCACATGTATGGGGTCTGAGCACTCAACATTAAGCATCTGCATTTCAAAATTGGATCCCTTGTGCTTGAAAGCCTTGAAAATGCTACTCTATGGTCAGCCTAGTGCAGCATCAATTGAAATGCAGTTTGAATGCAATGTAGAGCTTCCAATTGCTGCTTCAGAAAGTGTTATGCTGAATCTGGAACACTTTGCATAATTTAATTAATTATGCCACTAAAAACTGATTTTCTCTCAATTTAAAGCAAACAGCTTTTATGAGGGTAAACTGCAGCACCCAGGGATATCAGGTGTCCAAGCTTTTAATCCTATTACAAAGACTTGACAACCACTGATGGAAACTGGAAAAACATAAGCCTCCAGCAGGGCAACAAGTGAAGAGGAAGAAGGCAACAGATTTTTAATACTCTTTGAAACCACTGTACACATTAAATCAAAATCAAATGTAAAAAGTGACAGAACTGGTAGCTTGCATTTAGTTGTGCAGACGGTGAGTAGTGTCTAAGGAATAACACTTATTTCTCTTTGACGTTAATGAAAATAACTGTTTCCTCTAAGAGGAAAATTGTTCCGCTTAACTAACGTAAGAAAAACACAGCAAATGGCCAAGACTATTTGTATCTGTGTCTGTCCACTTAAAGTGTTCAGGAGTGCAACAGCCTGTAGTTTGAAAGTGGTTTCTAATGTTATGGATCAGATTCTGTCTATGAATCATTTTCCTTGTAAACAAGTCTTGACAGACGATGCCAGACTACAAGTATAAAAGAATCTGTCACTAAATAAACACTAGCCTCGATACTTCGCTTTCTGAAGCTTGTCCTCTCTCTTCCAATTTATTATTGGGTTTGGTATCACTCTAAAACAATAGACACTGTAATTTTGAGGCAGAAGGGAGTACTGTTGTAGAAAAGCTCTAATTTCTGAGCCACAGAAGCAGTGCCATCATTGGCAATCTATGACTGACCGTGCAAAATTCTGTGACCAGGTTAGGAAGGATCACAGCAGAATTGACTCCATCTCTGTATCAAACACCAGCATGTAACATGAAATTAACTGTACTGTAGAAGATCTTGCTAATAAATAGGGAAAATATCTTATTACTGGGAATTCACCAGCCCTATAAAATGCAAAAATATTCCTTGCTTATAATATTAACAAAAATTCATATAATTACTAATATTTATTTATTTATGTATTCCTATATATATATATATGACATATGGATGTCATCACGTTTTGATAGGAAAGTACAAAACAATGAGCTTAAAGGATTTGTAAAATGGTGACCTTGTTAAGAATACTATAACTTTACATGTAAATTAGAGAATTTTGCTCCAAGTCTGAAATACATTTTACAAACATAGCCTTTTCTATCTCTGTTTTTTATAAAGAACAAAAAATACATGTCCAAAAAAGAATTTTCAGTGGATGGTGAAGACAGGAGAGTTTGTAGCTACAAAAACAAGGCATTCTGGCCCAGATTCATCTTACTTAAGCCATCTAAGCCTAAGCCATTTGTAAAATCTTCTTCTGCAGTTACTGTACAGATGAAGGCATGCCCAGAGGCCATTCATTCCATTTGTCTCTTGCGGTCTTTCCCTCTTCGTTTCATTTGGGCATCACATGATCACCAGGCAGTGCCAACTTCATCTGAATCGCAGTGCAATCACACTTATGCTGAGCTAGCCAGCGTAGAGGGACTTTGCTGCCTTCACATTAGCCACAGCAGGACAGGCAGTACCACATCCACAATGAAACTAGAGCAAGATGGACAAGCAGTACGTGCTCCACTGCACGATCTGCCAGAACAAAGTTCTCTCCAACTTTTCTGAACAGATGCAAAAATTAAGATTGGGTTCCTTCCTGCTTAGGACTTGACATTGTGTAGTCAGATTTTCGGTGGTTGTTTTTTAATGAAGCCCTAAGTACCATAAAAACAGCTTTACTATTTTAGGGACACATGCCCTAAGATGGGATGAATTACCATTTGGAACTACCTGTTTTCCTCTGTTGAATCTGCATCAACACCTACATTTTGGCTAAAATTAAATGAGATGAACTCACTTTTTGTATTTAACTCTCACTTCCAGGGTCATATTTTTTAATGGAAGAATATTCAAAATAAGTGAAATGTATATGTCACAGTGGCAAAAAGCAGAAAATTGGAGAAAAGAAAATTAGAAGGAAAAAAAATATTTTTCCAGCTAAGATTTAGCTCCTTCAGTTACGTATGTGTTTGAAAGCAGGTTCGTGGGTTTTTAAGTCTTTGAGTTCTCAAAATACAAGAAAACATGTTCACTTATCAGAGGTGATAAGATTCAAATCATGTATTAACCAGCTCAACTATGTACACTGCATAAAGGTTACGACAATTTCTTGTAAAATAATAAAAGTATCTCATATAATTGATTCTTTTCATTGTTTCATAAAATTGCTTTGTTTGATTGCGGGAGAGTTTGAGCTGAATTTTCATTACCTACTTCTGAACAATTTACATTGGGATTGAGACAGTATTGAGGTAATGACTTAGAATTTATATTGAGCCTAAACTGTCTTCATGAAGTAACTAGGGAAAGAAAATCATGGCAATAATGGAGTATTTTTCATTATAAACTATGTTGTACAGCTTTTACAATCAGGTTTTTAATAGATCTAGAGAAATTAAATTGGAATTCTACCAACTTTTGTGCTTTTGTCATCCCATGAAAACGATGTTAAAAATTGTCAAGACTAATGTGCTAATCTTGTTTCTACTGAAGTAAGGAGGAGGTGGTATTAGTCCTGTTGTTTTTTAGGCCCCGTTGTTCATTAAGTAGTAAGATGTATATAGAAAAACATTCAGAAATATGCATTTCGCTGTAATCCCTAATGCTAAATAGAAATTGAGTATAGATTAAATAGGTCTTAGCAGATGTTACCCTAAAGTCCTTATTAAGAAAAAATCCCATGAAAACAGTAGAAACTTTCAAAGTCAGGAGGGTGAAATTGTGCTCTATATGAAAAAGGAAGCAATCGTATTGCTGATGCGTATATTGATACAGCTGAGAATGCATGCATATATACATATTTGTTAATCTATTTAAACAGTGTTTATTGATCGTATATGGTGAATAAACTCACACAATGAGTGTATAGATTACTTTGTATGCGTAAACATACATATACTCAATCTCAGCATTATACATAAATATGCACCATGAATAATGTAAGTCACCAGATTGGAAGATTTTAAACTTTTCATTATATATAAATGTACAAATTAATAATGTTATATGAATTTTTAGTATTGTCCTTTAATTGTATCCTTCTGTTCAATTCTGTGGGTATTTTTTATGAGGAGGTCTGCAATAGTGAAAAAGGGTATTTCTCAAATATATGAATTACTGCTCATCTCAACACTTACTTGTCCGCATTCTTCCTTGTTGTTAGTCTGTTCCACTAGCAGATATAATTTTTATTTATGCACAAATACAAGAAGAAATATGAATGTAGTTTAAATTTTAATTGGCATAACAGGCAATATTCTTTTTTTAGACATTTTGCAGGCAAAAATATTCTCTCATGTATAAAACAAATGCCATATGTAGTTTTACTTGCTAAGAATGGCAAAAGTATGTGTAAAATATACATCAAACACAAACTTCATGTGAATGAGCACAACTATAATACTTTTAGGTTTGTGTTCTAACTCTTAACCTTAAAAAGTTATCCTTACATATCTTTTTCAGAGGGTGGAAAAAAAAAACCCAAAAGTCCTTCCCCCAACCCACATACTAAAAAAAAATAAATAAATAATAAAAAAAAAAGCCACTTGCAAAAAAGGTTAGCTTGCTGGCCTTGCTTGCAAATTCAGACATTGCAAATTTGGAGTCTTCCTTCATCCAAATAATATATATTCATTCCCCACAGGCAGCAGTGATGGTTCTTGGGATAAAGAAAAACTTCAGTCTCCCCCCACCCAAGGATCACAGGCCTCTGTTAACCACCCCAACTTGCCTGGACAGCATAATGTTCCAGTTAGCCATCCTCTCAACCCTCTTCAACAGAACCACCTTCTGCCAAATGGTACGGGTTGACATCTTTCAGCACTAACATGAGCAGTTTTCCAATTCCTGTCTTTATTTTGTGTTGATATAAATAGGCTATGAAAAATCAAAAATGTGGGGAATATTGGAATACTTCCTTTAAAGTATTAAGCAGGGGAAGTGGAGACGATAAAGAACAAATACATATGCAATAAAATTGATACTTAAAATAACTGCTAACCTGTGCATCAGTGGCATAATAATGCATTGCTAAGGCACCCTACAGCAGATATTAAAAAAGATAATAAACAGCCATTGCTTAGCAATGATATCATACATTACACTGATATGAACAAACTAAGAGGTCTAATAGCCTCTCCTTGTGGCTAGAAACCCTCCATGGTTGCTAGTGATTTACCCATGCATATCCCGCAAGAGAACTGACATATAGCTGCTTTGTCCTGCAATGTGAACCATCTTGTCACCCATCACTTGACTATTGTCCATCAGGAGAAAAAAAAGACAGTGTTTTAAAAAGATGCATAAACCTATTTCCCTTTTTTTTTTTCCCCCACCAGGATTGGAACTTCCTTTTATGATGATGCCCCACCCGTTAATTCCTGTGAGCCTACCTCCAGCATCTGTCACGATGGCAATGAGCCAGATGAACCACCTTAGTACCATCGCCAACATGGCAGCAGCAGCACAAGTGCAGAGTCCTCCATCCAGAGTTGAGACATCTGTTATTAAGGTAACTATATATTACCAAAAAACAACAAAAAAAAATCTAGCACACTCACAATTGTCGTAAATATTGTAAAGGTGGGTAGGTGTCAGATGTTACAAGGTAAGTCAGAAAGTCAATATATACGAGAAACCCAGCTGTTGTAGCTCTGGGAACACAGTAGGCTGCTGGTGGCCAGTGTTACACTCTCAGTTCTCCTCCCCCTCTCTAAATCAGTATCAAAACAGTGCTCAAGTTGAAGCTTTTTCATACAGAATACACAGCTTTCTGATTTCTCATATTTCATAGTCTCTAATCTAATGGCAACATTCCTCAACATGTCAAGGAAGAAATTACTCCTTTCTTAAATTGCAAGAGACTGTTCTTCCAACTTCTAAATCTAAGCATTTGAACTGAAATGCTGCAAATTATCTGAAGAAGGCTGAAAGGCTTGACATTTTACCTCTGTAGAACCTAAATTGCCAAATCCCAGAACAGAATGGAATAAAGTTGCACAGAACAGACCCAGTAGTCTGCAGGCCAGAACTGTAGTATTGTAGAGATATCTCAAAAGTACCTGATATCTGAAATTGTCTGCCCATTTTAGGTTTTGTTTGCTGCCTATAACTGAATTAATCTGGTTATAGAGATATTTAGCAGAGTCACGGAGTCTTCTCTCCTTCTGACTGAAGATGATCTGTTTTAATTTGAAAGGCATTTCTCCCTTACCACTAGGTATTTATAATTTGATTTGACATTTATTCAGATGCCTACATGTTACCTGTTATCCTTCTTTAGTTCTAACAAATGAGATACAGAAAGTACACAAACTTTTGTGCTTTTATGTAACATTAATATGTTAGAAATAGACATGCGAAGGCAAGGTTATTTGATATTTTAGGGCTATGTTGGAAATCTGTCCATTAATGCAATTCCTTTGACAAAAAATGGGTAAACTTAAAATCTCTTGGACCTTCAAATCAAGAGTTGCAAAAGTTTTGAAATTCATGATGATTTAAGCAGAGTGAAGAGGTCTGACTTTATAGAGATGTTCAACATGCTTATGCTCCTGTCCTCTTTAACCTAACAAGCCCAGAATCGGAAAGAACCATTCAGTTAAAAGTCAACAAATCTACGTTGCTATTGTCCTAGAAAAATATGATCTGCTGACCTAATTTAGGTACCTGCACTTTCAAATGTAGGATCTCCTTTGGAGGCCTTCAGTGGCATCCCTTTCTCACCTTTGATGACATGGGGAGTTAAGACATTGGTTTGAGAAGAATTGTTTCTTTAGGTGCTATGTCAGCAAGGCTAGATTCCACCCCTAACATCCATCTTGCTCATATCTTGGGAATATAAACACTCTGCTGCTAACTAACTGTCGATTACATGGTGATTTCTGCACCTTTGTTTTTCTATTTTCACTTGAGCGGTATTTAGTGAGAGTTATACGATGCTAAAGTTCTCTGGAACATACGTGGTGCTCTATTTCATTCTAAACTTATTTTCTTAATTGGAACAGTGACCACTGGTATTACAGAGGTATCTAAAAAATGAAGATTGGGGTGGAGTACATGCTAAATGACACCTGACATGTATGAATTACTATGGCAACAAAACTTTGTTTTCACTATTTTTCTGACTATTTTCCCTCTTTCATTTTCTGTGAGCTATTTGATTTCATATGTAAGAGTACAAAATTTGACCTTCACAAGCATTGGTAACCTTCTGTTTCTAAACTTTGACAAGCTCACTTCTAGCTTGTGAAGTTGATTTACAAGCTAAATCTAGCTATTAAAGTTGCCTAAGTTACTGTGGCCTACATTTAAATATGTCTATGGTAGCATACCCCAACGTGACCCCTGATTTTTGTCTCAAGTTACCAAAATCAGGTACATTTGGAGTACAGCATAGCTCCTGGGCTATGTAAGAAAGGTTTCTTTTTGTGGAAGGCAGGTCCTGGTGTATTCACAGATCTCACCCCATTATGGAACATTGCTGGACCCAGGAAGCACTTAACTGAGAAGCACTTTTGGCTCATCTGATCTAAACCTGTCTAATAGGTTTAAAAGTATTGGACTCTGAAAGGGAGACTCTGTCATCATGTAACTACGTGTATTATTTTAACCATAGGCAGTGCCATACCAGCAAATTTTCCTTATTCCAGAGTTCCTTAACTTCTTAACAAGTTCATTCTTCTAGCTCATCTAGTTGGAAATATAATTTCATAATAATCTAAATGAAGATTTTGAAAGTACCTAGCAACTTTGATTCTCTGTTTGAAACATTTTAGCAGCACTTTGTAACTGGAATCATAATTTTGGCTATGTAAGAAAGGTTTCTTTTTGTGGAAGGCAGGTCCTGGTGTATTCACAGATCTCACCCCATTATGGAACATTGCTGGACCCAGGAAGCACTTAACTGAGAAGCACTTTTGGCTCATCTGATCTAAACCTGTCTAATAGGTTTAAAAGTATTGGACTCTGAAAGGGAGACTCTGTCATCATGTAACTACGTGTATTATTTTAACCATAGGCAGTGCCATACCAGCAAATTTTCCTTATTCCAGAGTTCCTTAACTTCTTAACAAGTTCATTCTTCTAGCTCATCTAGTTGGAAATATAATTTCATAATAATCTAAATGAAGATTTTGAAAGTACCTAGCAACTTTGATTCTCTGTTTGAAACATTTTAGCAGCACTTTGTAACTGGAAAATCATAATTTTTTTTTTCAAACTCTTGCTTATTTAAGCATTTGTTTGTATTAATAATCTACACTATTTATCTCTGTCATTTCTGAAAATTCAACTATCCTGTACTCATGCTAATAAAATCTTCATCGTAGCTGCCAACTTTTGCACAGCTTCTGGCATAACATCTTGTGCAAGTTATTTAACAAACCAGGTTTCATGTTCCCATCTGGTTTGCACATAACCATAAATTAAAAAGATGTGGATTTTCAATGAATTGTTTTTAAATGGCCAAATTAACCTAAGTTCTATTTAGAAAGCTGTACTCACTCAAAAAAAATACAAAACATAAAAAACTCAAAATAGAAATCTTTTAAGGTTTACACAATTAAGTTAGAGTTTTGGGACATTTACATAGAACCTGATGGAGACACTACCTAAGTGCTGCCGTGACTTCTTCAGTCAAGGCCTGTGACATATTGCCCACAATACATTTGTACTACAGGTAAATACATAAACACAAGCATTAATCTGCCATCCAAAACTCACTTCTAAATGTAAGAGCTTGCTGTACATAGTTATTTCAATAATACTGTAAGGGCTAAGGAACTTACTCTTGCAGGACTTTCCTACTCTTTCCTTCAGCCCCTCTGTGGTACAACATATGTCTATATTTATGTCCTCTGGTTTTGTCTATGTCAGATGAATATGGTCATGTGGATACAGATAGAACGGCCAAGTAATTATGTTCCTGTTTTTTAATGCTGAACAGCATTGAATCATAAACCCCAGCAACATAAAAGCATGAGGTCATTGTTAGGGGGATTTTCTTCCCATGAGCATGGACATAATGTCACTGGCAATTTACCTGTTCCTCACTAGGCATAGTCAGAGGCTGTGATTTTAGTGTCCATTGAATTATATGCACTGAGTAGTTGAGCAGGAAACTCTCTAATCAGCAGACTTTTTGAACCTTGCACTGGCAATGTAAAGTTTATGAATAATAACTTATACTACAATCAAAATAAATATCTTAGAGAATAGGTGTAAGTGAGAAGGTCAAACCTGCTTTTTCTTTATTTTTACAGAAATGGATAAATAGTGCAGTTGCTCTCTTTCACAAAACTGTTTGTTATTAGAATCATATATTCTTTTCTTTTACTGCTACATTTTTAGACTTTTTGGTTTTCTTTTCATTATCTTCTGGCTCATTTTTTTAACCCTAATTTTACTTAAGTGTTTTTCCTCAGTGACAATGTTTCCACAAGTTGATTTGAAAAGTCTGTGAATCACTCGTCTTGGAGTTCATAGTTGTAACCTGAAATGACAGCATAGATTTGAAATTAGACTACAAGATGTTTACAAGTTTAAACTCTGCTTGAAAGTTAGAAGACCTATGAGAAATTTCAACTCTGAAAAGTAAATCAATAGTAACCTTATCTAATTAAGTAACAAAGAAAAAAATTAAGTCTTAGAAAATCTGAGTCTTCAGATTATAAGCAACCTGGTTCATTGGATAGAAGAATTGCCTTTGTGAACAGTGCCATAGTAGATGACTTGCTGACCTTTCCTTCCAATTCACCGAGTTCACAGTTAGTGCTGTTATCTTTAAACTCACAAAGCTTCAAATGCCTTTCTATTACTGGGCAATATTTCATTTCTTCATGATAAGAAGTTGGAATAAAGCTGAGATCATGTACTGACCAAACATTTTATCCTGCTATGTTCAGGAGATGAGACAAAGACAAAATTACAAGGGAAGCCTTACAAAGCAACACCTTAGATTTGGCAGTGAACTCTGAGCTCTAAAATCTTCAGAATTATATTTCAGAAGAGTGTTGTGCCCTTTCGAACATGAGACGAACATTAGATGTCTTTTTGTAATGGAATGTTTAGATATATGTGTTGGATGAATAAGAGGAGAGCAACAACAAGCAGGGACAGCAGATTGTGACAGCAATGAATTGCAGTGAGTGTGACAGCTGTGACCTGGGGATGCTTTAGACATGAGGTGGCTTTCATCACCTGCCCATGGTTTCAAAGGCTCAGCTTGTTAGCAGTTTCACTACATCAGGTTTTTTCACTCAGCAGAAAGATATATGAAAATATAAAGGACATACCTCATATTAATAGCAACTTGAAATAATTCTACATTGTAAAAGTTAGAACAGAGCAGCATGCCAGAATCAAAAATTGCACTTTATCCATAGAATGTTACTAATACTTATAGACAGAATTAAGAATAAAGCAGAAGAAACCAATACCTCCAGCTGAAAAAGTGCCCAGTGGCACAGTAGTTTTCCACTGCATATTAAATATATGAAACTAAACTTTGCT